TCGGCAGGAAAGGGATGAGTCTCCGGCTGCCTTTTTAGAACGGATCATGGAGGCTTACCGCACCTACACCCCCATGAATCCAGAAGCTCCTGAAAACAAGGCAGCCGTGATCATAAGCTTTGTAAACCAATCGGCCGCGGATATTAAAAGGAAACTACAAAAAGTAGATAGGTTGGGAGAGAAGAGTTTACAGGATTTACTGGCAGTGGCAGAGAAGGTGTACAATAAGCGAGAGTCTCCAGAGGACAGGCAGGCTCGCGTCGCAGCTGCCACTAGCAGTAGGCAAGCTCGGGACCTGGCTAGGGTCCTGCTGGCTACGACCATGGACTTCCCCAAGGAGCGAGACCGTCGCCTCCGACAGCTTGCAAGCAATAAAGGAAGAGGTAAGCAGACCTCCCGAGAGGGGAGGCGGGGGCTACGGAAGGATCAATGTAAGTTTTGCATGGACATAGGGCACTGGGCTCGGGAATGTCCGAAGAAGGCCAGTGAGAAGGGAGACAGGACTGACCGAGTCAAGGTCTTAGAGCTGGGTGGACTGAGTGATTAGGGGAGTCAGGGTTCGGACCCCCTCCCCGAGCCCAGGATAACTCTAAGAGTGGAGGGGACTCCTATTAACTTCCTTGTTGACACCGGGGCACAACATTCGGTCCTCCGTACCCCACAAGGAAAACTGGCGAACAAAAAGTCCTGGGTGCAAGGGGCAACTGGTATGAGCCAGTATTCATGGACTACCCACAGGACAGTAGATTTAGGAACGGGCCAGGTATCCCACTCCTTCATGGTAATACCGGAATGCCCCTACCCACTATTGGGACGGGACCTATTGACCAAAATTGGAGCTCAAATAACTTTCAGACAAGGGGGGCCTCAGGTCACCGATGGGGAGGGGCGCCCCATTCAGGTCTTGACCATGAGGCTAGAGGATGAATATCGCCTCTACCAGAAGACTTCCCTGGTAGAGGCCAGTATGGACAAATGGCTACAAGAATTCCCAACAGCATGGGCAGAGACAGGAGGGGTGGGGCTGGCCGCCCACAGGGCCCCAGTCCTGGTAGAACTAAAACCAGGAGAAGGTCCGGTAAGAATCAAGCAGTACCCCATGCCTCAGGAGGCACGGAGGGGAATTCAGCCTCATATCAGGAGACTGAAGAGCTTGGGGGTGTTGGTTCCCTGCCAGTCTGCGTGGAACACTCCCCTACTGCCGGTTAAAAAGCCCCAGACAAACGACTACAGGCCAGTACAGGACCTCCGAGAAGTAAATAAAAGAGTTATGGACATACACCCAACAGTCCCAAACCCATACACTCTCTTGAGCTCCTTGGCGCCCTCTAAAGTCTGGTACACGGTATTAGATCTGAAAGATGCCTTCTTCAGTCTACCACTAGCACCTCAAAGTCAGACCCTTTTCGCCTTCGAGTGGCATGACCCAGAGGAGGGCTTCAGTGGACAGCTGACTTGGACACGCCTACCTCAGGGGTTCAAAAACTCTCCCACCATCTTCGACGAGGCGCTGCATGAGGACCTGGGTGAGTACAGAAGGGAACACCCCAACCTCACCCTCCTCCAGTACGTAGATGACATCCTGATTGCTGCCGACACGGCCAAGGACTGTGAGCGGGGGACCCAAGATCTATTAGCCACCCTGGGGGCCTTAGGGTACCGGGCATCCGCGAGGAAGGCTCAGTTATGCCGAGAAAGGGTGAGTTACCTGGGATACATCCTAGAGGGCGGGCAGCGGCGGTTATCGGATGCCAGAAAAGAGACTGTTTTGAAAATCCCTACTCCCACCTCCCGAAGAGAAGTAAGGGAATTTCTAGGATCGGCCGGCTACTGCCGCCTCTGGATACCGGGTTTTGCCGAAATCGCCAGGCCTCTATATGAAGCTACCAAAGAGGGAAGGGCGTTTGACTGGACTGAGAAAGACGAAGCTGCCTTTAGGCAGTTAAAGAAGGCCCTTCTAGGTGCCCCAGCCCTGGGCCTGCCAGATATTACAAAGCCCTTTCACCTCTTTGTGGATGAACACAAAGGGATAGCGAAAGGGGTCTTGACTCAAGCTTTAGGCCCCTGGAGCCGCCCAGTGGCTTATTTGTCCAAGAAGTTAGATCCTGTAGCTGCCGGCTGGCCACCGTGCTTGAGAATTATCGCGGCAACAGCGCTCTTAGTCAAAGACGCTGACAAATTGACCTTGGGGCAGGAAATCTGGATTACAACCCCACATGGCATTGAGGGAGTCCTAAAGCAGCCTCCTGACAGATGGATGAGTAACGCACGTATAATCCATTACCAGAGCCTCCTACTCAACCCTCCAAGAGCGTGGTTCGACCCCAGTGTGGCCCGCAATCCTGCTACTTTGTGCCCGACCCTGACTCAGATGCCCCACTACACGACTGTTCCGGAATCCTATAGCAGGTACAAGGACCTCGGAAGGACCTGACCGACCAGCCCCTCCCTGATGCAGAGGCCACCTGGTTCATGGTTGGGAGCAGCTTCGTGTGGGATGGGTCAGGTACGCGGGTGCAGCGGTAGTCACTGAAACAAACACTGTGTGGGTGGAGGCCCTGCCCTCCGGGACGTCAGCCCAGTGAGCAGAATTCATCACCCTTACTAAGGCACTGATGCTGGGGGCTGGGAAGCGGCTTAACGTTTACACAGACAGCCGTTATGCATTTGCTACAGCTCATGTCCACGGGGCAATCTATCAGGAGAGAGGGATGCTGATGGCAGAGGGACAGACAAAAAAAATAACCAGGAGATTCTCGATCTGCTTGTGGCCTTATGGCTTCCTGCCAAGTTAGCCATAATCCACTGCCAGGGGCACCAGAAAGCCGATGACCCAGTAGCAAGAGGTAACCAAAAGGCTGACCAGGCTGCGAAGGCAGTAGCCCTTACCTCGGTCCCTACCATGGCCTTACAACTCCCAGACCCAGGGCACCCAGTCTTACCAGACCAGCCCAAGTACTCCCAGGAAGAATTGCAACGCATCAGAAAGCTCCCCAGAGCCCAGGAAATAAAGGGATGGTGGCATACACCAGAAGGGGAACTCATACTGCCAGACCGGCTCGGGTACAGGGTATTAGAACATATGCACTGCTCCACTCACCTGGGAACCCGGAAAATGAAGGACTTAATCCGACATGCCGGGATCAAGATTCACCAGCAGGATACCAAGATAGATCAGGTTGTGTCTGCATGCAAGACCTGTCAACTCAAGAACACAAGAGTCGGATAAAATGAAAGAAGGACCAGGCTCAGAGGCACCAAACCAGGAGCACAATGGGAAGTCGACTTCACTGAAATTAAACCGGGGAAGTATGGTTATAAATATCTTTTAGTATTTGTAGATACCTTCTCTGGCTGGGTAGAGGCATACCCAACCAAGCATACCCAGATGGTGGCCAAGAAGCTGTTGGAAGACATCTTACCCAGGTATGGTTTTCCTGCTATGATAGGGTCTGACAACGGGCCAGACTTTATTTCATAGGTAGTAACCAGGGCTATTGGGGCAAATTGGAAATTACATTGTGCTTATAGACCCCAGAGTTCAGGTCAGGTAGAAAGAATGAACAGAACTCTAAAAGAGACCCTTACCAAATTAACCATGGAGACTGGCAGGGACTGGGTGGCTCTCCTACCGTATGCCCTTTACCGGGTAAGGAACTCCCCATACACCCTGGGCTTTACTCCCTATGAAATCATGTTTAGTAGCAGAAGATTTGGTTGCCTAAAGAGGCCATGATGTTTCATTGTATTGATATGTTATATTAACCTTTGATTCTTTTGCAGGTTTTGAATGTATGTTGGCTGTCCTGGAAGGGAGCTGTGTGGGTGACCCCAAAAGTAAAGGGTGTCTAGCTGACAAGGGGGCAGGTGCCCAACTGGGCAGGAGAGGGTGCCCATCAGGTTTTGGTCTCTGTTGAGAGACAGCTAACAGTTGGCAGCCTGTAATACTGTCTTGCAGGCCTGAGTCACCAGGCCCATGTCCTGGG